AACTTACAAGGAGAGGATGCAGGACTGAACTGTGTATGTTAGGCTACTTAATATTGAGGAAAAGCCCCAATCAGAGAGGCGAATGTCTGCAGCCCCGTCTCCGTTTTCCATCATCCACACTGAGACGAAGCAGCAGCGTTTCAGAATAAAAACGGCCTATCCAGCGTTTTTGAAACACTCCGTTTTCGGCGCTCGAGAACTCTGGCGTAGTGTGGACGGTTGGCGTAACCGTAGCAAAACTTATGCGTTTTCAAACTAAAACGCATTAGTGTAAACGGGGCCTTAGTCATAAGTTTTGATTCTGTATTCATGTAGCTTCATAATAATCAGATTAAACACCACTGAAGACACGTGGACTGTTTTCAAAATTTGTTTGGTACCTTCATGGACTTTGAACAAGTCAGGACCATTGTGGCGTATGGAGGATCAGGGAGCCCTCAGATTTCTCAAAAAATGTTTGGAATTTGTGTTCTGGAGATGAACAAAGGTCTTGAGGGATTAGAACAAATTTAGCTTAAATTGTTCAAATTTGCACTTTATTTATTTATTTATTTATTTATTTATGTTTTGTTTTACAATATATAGCTCCATGCATTGTTAATCTGCATTACACATTTTAATTAAAAAAAAAAGTTCTAGAAAGCTCCACCTTTCATCATCTGGACAGATCTCCACACTACTGTTGGTGACTCTGATTCCATAATGACCTGCCCAGTAGTGTGTATCCTTCCCTCCATGAGTGAAACTGATAAATCGAACTCCAGCTCCATAGTTTTTAAAGACATGTGCCGTCTAAAATAGAGCAGAACAAACAGGGACAGTTAGGCTTTGACTGCTCATTGATTTAAACGCTCCACCATCATCCCAATCCAGAAGAAGCCAAAGATCACAGGACTCAGTGACTACAGACCCGTTGCCTTAACATCTGTGGCCATGAAGTCATTTGAAAGACTGGTGCCAGCTTATCTGAAGGACATCACCTTACCTTTGCTGGATGTACAGCCAACTCACACTCCTACGAGTGTGCTAATGCTCATATATATATATATATATATATATATATATATATATATATATATATATATATATATATATATATATATATACATATATATATATATATATTAGTGCTGTCAAAATTAATTAATTAACACAGTTGCTGTTTTTTTTATTTCCTGTTGTGGTCGACGTGTGTTCAACATGCAAAGAAATATGAATAAGGCCAAGGAAGCGCTTTTTCAAGGCAAGTTTCAGTATAAAACAATTAATGTCGCATCACCAGGCTCTCCAGCGTTTTCTCCAAAGTTTCATGCAAATTCGGGTGTTTAATTTTTAACTTTCGATTTCCGTCTTAATGGAATTTGATACCGCATGGCGAAAGGAAAGAAAAACCTCCGCATTTCGTGACTCAGTGGTCCTTTAAGGTAAACAAAAATTGATGCTTACATGGTAGACTCTTAATAAGAGTGTTATCTTAATCATATTAAATTCGGAGTATTGGTGTTTTATGTACATGTACTCAGAAAGTGACATGATGTCACAAGCTGTCAGACAGCGCATTCATCTGCCTTTCAGCATGAGCCCTAAAATGTGTCATTAAGTTTGACGTGTTTCCCCCTTACACGCAAGTGTCTGCTTCACGTTGTTGTGTCAAAATCCTTGTGAAATACAGCCAAACTTTAGAACGCTTAGTTTAAGCAAATTAGATGAATGTGATCATGTGTGCTGAATCTGAAGTGAGTCGCTCCGCCTGCCCTGTCCTGTGCGCATGTGTGTGTGTGTATCTGTCTGTTTGTCTGTCTGTCTGTCTGTGTGTCTGTCTGTGTGTCTGTCTGTCTGTCTGTCTGTGTGTGTGTGTGTGTGTGTGTGTGTGTGTGCGTGCGCTTTCTTAGCAACAAACCTGCATAAACGTCCGTAGCCACTAAATCAAAAAGTTACGAATTGCTGTGAGATTGCGCTGCACTCTCAGCTCACATCATTCAAAAGAAAAGGGCCAGATCGTCCCCCGATAATGTCAACAGACTGGACTGTTTTAGCAACTGACTAAATGTAAGAGGACTGAGTAAAATTGTTTTTACTTTATATTTAACAATCTCAACAGCAATACAACTTTACTAAGAGTGCAATTGTTTGTATTTAATACTTTATTGTTATTCTAATTTTCCATATCTGCAATGCCTGTATTTTGGCATTTGTTTGCAGTCCACTTAGAATCCAACTTGGAAATATTTTTTTTCTTTATTGGCATTGATTGTTTTAAAATTCAAATAATATTAACATGCCTGTGTTTTAATTTCTGCAATAAATATGGCTGTCAGGCCAGGATCTTAATGGTTTATTGTGGGTATGTTGTTTACATGAAGAAATCTGTGTTACAAGTTAAACAAAAATTCGAATAAACAATTATATTTTGAATTTAAATAGTTTTTGTCTTGCGTTTACATTAATTTTACATTTGAACAGGCAAAATTACAAGTTTCAGTCTTTTAAATGCAATTAATCCCAATTAATTTAAAAAAAGGTGCGATTAATTTGTTAATTTTTTTATCAATTGACAGCACTAATAGGTAGGTAGGTAGGTAGGTAGGTAGGTAGGTAGGTAGGTAGATAGATAGGTAGGTAGATAGATAGATAGATAGATAGATAGATAGATAGATAGATAGATAGATAGATAGATAGATAGATAGATAGATAGATAGATAGATAGATAGATAGATAGATAGATAGATAGATAGATAGATAGAATCAGCCAATCACATGGCAGCAACTTAAAGCATTTAGGCGTGTAGACATGGTCAAGATGATCTGCTGCAGTTCAAATCGATTATCAGAATGGGGAAGAAAGAAGATTTAAGTGACTTGGATCATGGCATGGTTGTTGATTGCCGACGGGCTGTTCTGAGCATTTCAAAAACTGCTGTGTGCGCCAATGCCTTGTTGATGTCAGAGGAGAATGGCCAGACTGGTTCTATCTGATAGGGCAACAGTAACTCAAATAAGCACTTGTAACAACTGAGGTATGCAGAAGAGCATCTGAACGCAAAACACGTCAAACTTTGAGGAATATGGGCTACAGCAGCAAAAGACCACACCGAGTGTCACTCCTGTCAGCTAAGAACAGGAAATTGAGGCTACAATTTGTATGGGTTCACCAAAATTGGACAACAGAAGATTGGAAAAACGTTGCCTGGTCTGATGAGTCTCGATTTCTGATGTGACATTTGGATGGTAGGGTCAGAATTTGGCATCAACAGCATGAAACCATGAATCCATCCTGCCTTTTATCAATGGTTCAGACTGGTGGGATATTTTCTTGGCACGCTTTGGGCCCATTAGTACCAATTGAGCATTATGTCAATGCCACAGCCTACCTGAGTATTGTTGCTGACCATGTCCATCCCTTTATGACCACAGTGTACCCATCTTCTGATGGCTACATCCAGCAGGATAAAGCCCCATGTCATAAAGCGTGAATCATCTCAGACTGGTTTCTTGAGCATGACAATAAGTTCACTGTACTCAAATGGCCTCCACAGTCCCCAGGTCTCAATCCAATAAAGCACTTTTGGGATGTGGTGGAATAGGAGATTCACATCATAGATGTGCAGCCGACAAATCTGCAGCAACTGCGTGATGCTATCATGTCAATATGGACCAAAATATCTAAGGGATATTTCTAGCACCTTGTTGAATCCATGCCACGAAGGAGTAAGGCAGTTCTGAAGGCAAAATGGGTCCAAATGGGTACTAGTAAAGTGTACCTAAAGGAGTAGCCAGTGAGTATGTGTACAAACATACATACACACACACACACACATACATACATACATACATACATACATACATACATACATTACATACATTACATATATATATATATATATAATATGGCCACCAAACTCCCAGTAAAATGTTAATGTTACTTTTTCATTTCTTAAAAATAACAATTCGTTCCTTTAACAGCATCGATAATGTAATTAGTGTGAGTCCCACTTTATACTGTGTCTCAATCAGGCAGCTTACAATCATTGATTTTGAACAAACCAGATGTTAAACAGTCTTTTTTAAATTTTAAGTGCCCGTGCATATAGCCTGTTGGACCCTCTGTACTAAGCTACTCACTTGACACCATGGATAAGAGTTCCAAATGTGAAATAACACTTTCTCAGGCTCAAAGGTACTGATGGGTTTCTTCTTCTGATCAAGCAACTCCACACAGATCTGATACTCACATCCACAATCTTTACGAGGTGCATACCTGTGCCAAACAAATATAATATAAAATTTACTCAAACAAGATCATTAGTCAAAGGCACTTGAAAAGTAAGTGAAAAAGCCTTTATTGACAGTGTTATTGTTTTTAAAAAAATCTTTATGCATCCCTTATCCAAGGAGTACCGACACATCAATTACCGCTGAAGCCCTTTTTGTTTGATTTTGGATTTATAAAATAAAAGTTTTCTTAAAGCTTTGCATTCATATTAAAGCTTATTTGAGTCTAAAGCTCATACAGTGTTCTTAAAGAAGTTTGCTGCAGCAAAAATGAAAATTTATGTCAATAATTTGTTGTTCTTTAAAATTTCTCTATTTAAAAAGTGTTCAAAATCAAAAGGCTTGGAACAACAGGAGGACAGAACATTTAGGTGAACAGTGCCTTTAAAAACGTTTTACATGAAATAAAACTTAGGGGAAAAAAATGAAATGGGAATTTGAATGAACGCTCGCCAGTCTGATATCTTGATATGAGGTTGCACCTGATCCATGAAAGTATCACTGTAGCCTTCTTTTTGCAAATCAATCAGCTGTTGCTTCAAACATAACCTGAGAACAAAGATTATTGCTGATTGGTGTTTAATTATTGATTTATTATTAAATTGCAACACTGACTGAAATTTAAGGATCTAAATGATCAACCGTACCCAAAAGACGTTACAAAGCATCTAGTGACTGTGTCCGTAAGAGGTTTGCTATTTTCTGCTGTCACCCAGCAGCCGCTTCCACTATGTACCATCTTCCATCCTTGAAGTCCGTCTAATGAGAACATCAGAGAAGAGATGTTACTTAATGCAAAATAGAATGATTATAGCAAGTCTTATTGTACAGTCTTCACCTTTTGCACTGGGATTAATCAGCAAGTTGGATTTCGTGCATCTCAACCTACAAGTGGAAACAAACAAAAAAGATATACATTATAAAATCCTTTCTGCTGTACTGGAACACAATTAATGGACATCAAACTTGAGAACCATAAATATCTTGCAGTGAAGCGTCTTGTTCTTTCAGGTTTCTCTGTTCTGTCCCTAACATATACTGTTTTTGTGATCCATCATTAGTCAGACATGTTGGAGAGCAAATTGTAAACAAAGCCACTGAACCTATTGCTGCTAAAAACGATCAATTATGGTAATGTTTTGGGTTGTACTAATCAGACCAAAAAACATAAATTAAAAAAAATAGAGTACTAAGAGTACTAATGATGAACAAAATTCACAACCAAATCAAGGAGAAAACAGGCTATTATTGAAGTCAGTTTGAACATTTCCTTTTTCCCCTCTTACCACAAGGTTCTCTAGCAGCTGTCATGCATTTCCCCATGGATTAGACAGCATAAATAAGCAGAACAATGTATTCAGTAGTAAATTACCATGCAATCCAATGCTGGTATTTACATCCAAGTATCGAGAATATGACAGAGCATACAGGTAACTAACTATATCATAACATGAATGAAACTCCATATATGGTAAATGTGATTATATCCCAATAAATACAGTAAGGGCTACTCATATAAAACTTGCATTTTTCAAATTATTTCTGAAAAGTGTTCATTTTTTTTATATTAACATTAGACACATAAATGGTCACTGTTTTAATCTACTGGCATCCGAATGCAAAACACATTTTCATGGATGGTTACTTGGCGCCATCATGAATATCACTATAATCATAAAGCCAATGTCAGTAATAGAGCAACAATGAACATGAGTTTGAGAAAGTCACATCTGTACCATATCAGTTTATTTGTGGCTTGTCTATGTGTTTTTCCACAGCAGAATGTGCACAGTGAGCTTTATTGAAAGCTTGGTGGTTCAGAGGTAAAGTTACATGTCAAATGAATAATGTGTATAATATGTAATATGTAGTTATAATATCTATGCCTTATAGTAATTATGCTTCATGAGTCCATGCTTTTTACAATTATGGTGTGTTTAATCATATTAGTTTACATAATGTATAGTTTAATAAGTATATTGCCATTTTCAATCTCATTATAATTATGAGGGTGCATGCAAACATACTGATTTACTGGACCAGAAAGAATGCATTTAAAGTAAAGCTTTGTAAAGTTAGAACACTTTAAAAGTCCTCATCTGAGAAGCTGTGAAATCCTTCTGGAAAGTTGTACCTCTCTGCAGCTGGACAGATCTCCACGCTGCTGTTAGTGAGTCTTATTCCATTATGGCCCCTCGGGGTCTGTTTACCCAACCCACCATGAGTGAAACGGATAAACCGAACACCAGGTCCATAATTTCGGAAGACATGTGTTATCTGGAATAAAGCAGAACAAACACGGTATGGTTAAGCTTTGACTATTAGTTTGAGTAACTGAACCGTCAGTATTTTTCCGCTCACCTCACACCATGGATAATTGTCCCCTTCCAGAAACATTTTATACGGATGATAACTAGTAATGGCTTGCATCTCCTCATCAAGCAGTTGCATATTGACTTGATATAGGTTTTTGTAATGAGTGTTTGTGGTATACCTGCAGATAGACAACAAACCAATGTGTTGCTGTTTGGAGAATATTAGAGCCTGAGTGTAATGCACAGATCGTTCACAGGAATTCAATTCCAATAAATGCAAAATTCAGATGCTGTAGCACGAGTTGTGAGTTGTGTGAATGCTCACCAGTCTGAGATTTTAATGTCAGGTTGCAGTTGATCCATGAAAGCAGCACTGTAGCCTTCTTTCTGCAAATCAATCAGCTGTCGCTTCAAACACAACCTGAGGACAGCGATATTGGTTGATTCATGCTTCGTTTACATTTTGTATCACTGATTGTGTTTACATGGACATCGGAAACTGAATGATTTGCCTAAATCTGAATAATACAATAATATGATTAAGGTTTTTACATGAGTTGCTTTTTGAATGTTCCTTTCATGATCCCCTTTTACATGTTATAGCACATAATACGATTAACGTCATTGCCGTCATGTAATTTTGGGTGTCTAAACTGCACTTCAATAATGCGACTAAAATCGGCACACTCCACATGTCAATCTGATTTCTACTTATGAACTTAATCGGATTAAATTTATCAAAAAACGCTGTTTACATGGTAAACTCTTAATCAGAGTATTGTCTTAATCAAATTAAAATCCGATTATTGGTGTCCATATAAATGTACTTGTAAGGTTTACCCAGTTGGCCAAATGAAGGCGTCCACTGGTGGATGAAGGTTCACTGTGTGTTTGGCCTTTCCAGTGCACAATGTTGAATTCCTTAAAATTTTACTCATATATGACTCCAATTTTAACATGATGTGGTTTAGAATATTAATATATTTATTTTTCGTTTTTCTGACTATAATTATAAAACATTAGGAAGATTATATCAATATATAGTTAAATAAAAAATAGTTATATAAATGTTTGAACCTTTTGTCTTTACCTGTAATTATTACATTGGTTAATTTGGGTGCTCATGTCGCTCAGAGGAATCGCCTCTGCCATTATTATAAACATAACTGACTACTGTTTTCTATAATAATTTTGGATTAGCCAAGCTCATGGTTTCCCATGTATATTTAATTTAGAACAACATTACGTTCAAACAAGGCTCAGGCACCCTATCTAGGTTAGTCGTGCAACATCTTGTTCCCCAAGACGGAAATAACCCCTTTTCCACCAAAGTACACTTGAATCAATATCAAGAGTCATTCGGATCTCTAAAATAAAGTTAATGTGCCCGATGCTCCATCTCAACTGGACTTTAGTCCGTCTACTGACCTGACGCAGGAAGTGCGCAAACAAGGATCCAGCGTAATCTACTAAAATAAATAATTACAGAGTTAAGCAGAATGCGTTCAAACATAATAATTTAACAGTCAGGTAAATGTGTATTATGCCAATTATTCAGTCAATTCCTAAACAATACAAGACATCAAATTCAATAAATGCATACCTGACTTCATAATATATATAATATAGGGCTCTATTTTGACGGTCCATGCGCAGAGCGCAAAACGCAGGGCGCAAACGCTTTCAGGGCGTGTCAGGATGCGTTTTTGCTAATTTAAGGACGGGAAATCTGCCTTGCGCCACGGCGCAATGGTCTAAAAGGGTTGAGTTTATTTTCTTAATGAGTTATAGGTGTGTTTTAAGAATAAACCAATTAGAATCTTATCTCCCATTCCCTTTAAGAGTCAGCTGCGTCGTGCCAAGAGCGCATTCGCTATTTACAGGACGCAAAGTAAGTCTAAGTGGAAAGTTTCTGTTTTTTAACAAAAAACTGTTTAAACAGAGCATCTACTGCTTGAGAATGAGAGATAATGGATCACTTTCACTTTCGCTCTTGGATAGGGAAACCTTTACGCACAGACATCAATTAGTCTATAAATAAATACTTTAGTTTGTTAAGCGCAAAGATTTGTTTTAAAACTATTTCTAAATTCAGTTCTAATTTCCAGCAAACAAATAAATGAATAATAATAGCAAAATGTGCAAATCTAAGCTTGCTTTTAATAAAACAAATATAAATATGGATATAATAAATAATACTGCTAATAATAATAACATTATACAAAAGCAAATTGTTATGAATTAACTGAAAAAGCCTCCCGAGATGAAGAAGACATAAAAGTAGTGATTTTTCATATTTATAGGCTAGAAAATAATATGTTTTGTAATATTTTAATCCTTTATATTTATATTCTATATCTACTATTATTATATACTATATATATATATCCTTAATATTTACATTTTTTCATATGTAAAGATATTTGCCTATTGCTCTCTTGTGCGTATTAAGCAGTGTGTAAGCGAGGCGCAACTCTGCGCCGGACTTTAGACTGGGTTAGTTTTGGTCTAATGAAAAATCTATTTTAGTTTCTCAAAATAGCAACGCACCAGCGGTCCGCCTCAGAACGCCTTCCTTTTTAGACCAGAACGCCTATGGGCGCACATCTGAGCGCTAATGCATTTGCTATTTAAACAGCGTAGCTCAGCGCCTCAAAACGACTCTTGCGCCAAGCTGAAACTAACAAAAGACTACTGCGCCACGCCTTGCGCCACACTGCGCCGGGTGTATGATAGGGCCCATAGAGTATGAGAGCTCTATATTATGGGTTAATCTGATTAAAGAATCGCCCAGAGCTTCTTGACGCTTTCCCCCATAGTCAACCCATAGCAAAACATTCTCCAAGTGGGGGTGTCTGAAACAACAATGTTAACCCACTTGCTGTGGGAATCAGGAGGTAATTTGGATAGAGGACCCTGATAAATAACACCCCTTTCTGAAGTGGACCAAAGATACCTAACGTTTCAAGCGTTTATTTAGATTATGCCTATTACTATGAGAACGAGACCATTGTACCAGTCGCACTGAGACATTTCAAATGGTATCAAACATGATGCAAAAATACACTTGCATTGATACAAAACATTCATACTTTAAGATGACTATTCTTTCTCTTCGTTCTTTGAGTTGGGTGAAGAAGAGTGTGGGTAAAGAAAAAGGGAGTGCAGGAGAATAATCTTCCTTCATTCTCACTCAATTTCTCTGTTTATTGACCTTATTCTTTATTGCAGAAGTGCCCTTGTTTTAGAACTTTCGATTCAGATGAGAGAAATGACCTTATTATATTATTCTATAATAATATAATAACAAAATATCAGTTTGCCACATCAAGCAGCATAACAAGCTGTTTTAACATCTAAAAATGAATGCAAGTGAGGGAGACTGGAAGTCTCAAGCCAAAAACATTCAAATGGCTGCGCCCGCTCGTACGCGAAGAATAAAGTGAATATATCCTGTTTGCATTGTCCATATTTGAATGCATAAAAAGTATCTGGGATTTCTTACATACTCACTGACTGAAATGGAAAGAACACAGAACTAACTCGAAAGATCTATAAATCAAACATACCCATTAAATGATACAAAACATCTGGTGACTGTGTTTTCCGGAAATGGTTTTCTATTTTCTTCTGTCAGCCAGCAGGCATCTCCATTACCCGCAATCTCCCATCCCTGCAATCCAGCTAACAACAAACAACCAAATAAGAGATTTTACCTGAAAAATGATTAAAGTGCATCCACTTACTGCAAAAATATTAAACACATGACTCACCTTCAGCTTTGGGATTCTTGATCAGGTTACGTCGATTCTTATTTAGGATGTAAAACTGGCACCAGTCCACTGGCGGTCTGGAAGCATCACAGGGCTGAATCCCCTCTCTCCGACAGCGCTCTCTCCAGTGTGCAGCACTGTCCACCAGCTCTTTCCACTCAGGACACACCAGACGACACACTCGCACCACCTGATGAGCGGGCAGGTTCAGCAAGATCTCCTCGACCACATCTAAAGGTATCTCTAACTGCACCCCTGAGTCCTGACAGAGAGAGAGAAAAGTTTTAACCCTGTTGGAAATTCCACTTCTGGAACATGGCTGCCAGTTTTCAGCATTTATTCCCAGCAAACATGCTCATGCACTACCCATGCTGGCTTTTTGCAGGCACAGTGAGCTATTACCCGGCAACCTCAAATCTAATGAAGCCCAATGCATACATTTTTGTAAATGTTTGAAATTAGGAATGTTTCTGCAGAAGACATGTCAGTGTTTATTTTGATGTATTATTTTATAATGTAAATATTTAAATATTTAGGTAGAATTTTGATTGTTTATATGCATGTTTATATATAGTTGAATGCGAAATTATTAGCCCCCTTTAAACTGTTTTTTTCTTTTTTAAATATTTCCCAAATGGTGCTTAACAAAGCAAGGAATTTTTTAATAAAATTTTGGAATATTATTTTTTTTATATTAAAAATCTGATAATATTTTTTCTTCAAGAGAAAGTCTCTATTTTTAATTTTGGCGAGAATAAAAGCAGTTTTACATTTTTTAAAAGCCATTTTAAGGTCAAAATTATTAGCCCCTTTAAGCTGTATATTTTCATTAGTCTACAGAACAAATCATCATTATACAATAACTTGCCTAATTACCCTAACCTGCCTAGTTAACCTAGTTAAGCCTTTAAATGTCACTTTAAGCTGTATAGAAGTGTCTTGAAAAATATCAAGTTCAAATATTATTTACTGTCATCATGGCAAAGATAAAATAAATCAGTTATTAGAAATGAGTTATTAAAACTATTATGTTTAGAAATGTGTTGAATTTTCTTTTTCTCTTCGTTAAACAGAAATTGAGGAAAAAATAAACAGGGAGCTTCTAATTCAGACTTCAACAAATATTTATATTTATTTATATATATATATATATATATATATATATATATATATATATATATATATATATATATATATATATATATATATATATATATATATATATATATATATATATGTTTGTGTGTGTGTGTGTGTGTGTGTGTGTGTGTGTTTAAATACATCTTTGTGTGTTTTTGTTTCTTTGTAGTGGCACCACAGTAAAAACTTTGCAAAGGGATAGTAGCCTACAGCTGCATTCAAGTCAACTGGGACACCGCCATTCCACTATGTTACATACGACCATGGGCATAAATCTGATTTAGCTGTAGGGGGGGGACAATAAATTTAAATTTTCTTCCGAGCATTTTTTTGAAGGGGACACAAATAATACAGACGAATTTTACTAATAAAGATATGTCCCCGCAGTTAAAAATGGTTTCATTATAATTATTATTATAGCATGGAGACTTCATCATTATGATTATTGTCTTAAGTTTTTCTCAGGTTCAATGACAGCAAATTTTACTTCAAAACTATTTATTGCATTGTTTGTTTTGTTGTTCACAGTCAATAGACTGACTCCTGAAGCAGAATAAATGCAGAAAAAGACATTTTCCATACTCATAATAACTAACTTGTTTACATTACACTTGTTAAATTTACAGATCATATTGTAAATCAGTGAGCCTGTGAAATCTGCTAAACAGCCACAACTCAGAAAACATAAAAAAAAAATGGTTCACCCCAAAAGAATTGTCATTATTCCTTCAATAAAGCACAACACCCTTACCTGACACTGTACATCTGACTGACCCTGCCCTGCCTGTTCCTCAATCATTTCTTTCTCCTTTGCCTGTGATTGATAATGTGACATTAGTATTTTCATAAGCACTCATTCTGAAAGCCAAATTGCTTAATATGCGGAGTTTTTGTACTTGACGTTTAGCTGCACTAAAAAAATTATTATGTCCATTTTCTCGTTCATTTTATCCAATACATGACACTGCCAGGCAAGTTTATTTATGCTGTAGCACATTTTAGACAAAATAGCAATTCAAAGTGCTTTACATAAAGAATGCAAAAGTATTATAAAAATAATCACAACAATAGAAACAAAGAATTAAAAAAGGTTAACATTTTAATTTCAAATTAATTGAGTAGAACAGAATAGAAACTGATTATACAAAAAATACAGTGGGGTTAGTGTGCACAGTGTAGCAGTGCTCATTTGGCAAATACACAACTAATAATATGCAAATTGTGGTCGTTAATGTTGAGTTAACATTATGCCAAGTCCTCACAAATGAAACAATGCATGGGAAACGGCTTTAGCATTAGCAACAAGCTAACGCTAACTAGATAAGTAATTTTAATCGCTAATACAGCAGATTCATGGACAGTTACATCCTTAATTAGCATTTTTTGCCGCAGCTAATTTATGAAAGAGTTAACTACATCGGGGAGAATCGCTTTAAGGTGGGTTAAAAACCCCCTCTTTACTTAAAGTCAACAGTAACTCGCATCCACACACCCGACTAAAGGGGTATTTGTAATTGTACTACACTTTATATAAGCATGTTTATTTAACTAAATTTACAGCTGTTTGAATACAGTATGTCATTATAGATGTGTAGTGAATGTGCAGTAATCTCTCATATGTAATAAAGGCTAAAATAAATATATTATTTTAGCTATAAATAAATATATTATTTTAATATTTTAGCCTCTTATAAATATATAAGAGGCTAAAATAAATATATTAATTAGACAGAATAAATAAAATGATTAGAATATAAAGGAAATTTAAATCATCAATATGCAATAACAGATCAGAAGGCAAAGCTATGCGTTATAACATAAATGCAAAGAAGAGACCGTCGTGTAATAAATCCTAAAGTTATAATCAGTGAATATGAGGTGATTTCACTTTCAAAATGCGGCATAGATTCGTCCCATTAGGCGTTTTAAATTCTTTTGAACACATTCAGGTGCTGCTTGTCAACTTGAAAAGGCATGTTCGTTCTTGCTGTCAACTGCAGATAAAATGATTGTACAAAAGTTTTTATGTGGCTGTGACAGTAACTGTATGGAAGGGGGATTTGTCCGGAGAGTCAGATTTCCATATAGTCGCGCGGAATTGTCATTATGGCCGTACGCGTAATCGTAAACTCAAATGCGGTGTCAATAAAAGGAAATGAAAAACACAGAAAGTCGAATTTTACCCCTCAAGTAAAACTAATATAGGTTATGGTTTTGCTGTACTAACAATAAGGATAAATTAAACATATAGTCAGGTGATATATTATGATATACTGAAAACAGAAACAAATAAAAAGTTCATCAACTTACTGCGTTTGGTCTGGTTACGGAGACCCTCGAAGCCGCACCGAAGCTCCCCATTCCACTGAGGCATTCGTTTGACTCAGACGATCCCCCTGTGCGTGCTTTCAGTGGGGATCCACTGAAGCTGCGTTTCATTGTTTGGCAGTAAACTAGCAGTATCACTGTTATTATTAGCTACATCCGCGTTATGGACAAAAACCATAGACTGTAAAAAATATGGACGTAGTGTCCGTGACGCCACCCATAGGTTTCTGAAGAGCGCAAATGAAGCTTACTGTAGGCGTGGTCAGCCGTCGCCATCTTGGAAGTGCGTCATTCCCGGATACTCGGAAATGGGCAGAGGCGGATCTTAGGCGGAGTTAAGATGACTGTTTGCTGAAACCATAGAGACCATCCCACCACCCGCGACATTTGAATCATTTGAACATCTCAGCGTACTATCGAGGTAAATTAACCTGAAACTACACAACAAAACTTAAAATAATAAATGTTGTTGATATTATTATGGCTCTCTGTGGCAAGCCGTTTTGACTTATTCTTAGGATATGCTTTATTGATTTCAACATTCAGCATTCATTATATTTCTTTCGTTTGAAATAACTGAATTGTTGATATCAACTATTTAATTGTTAACATCAAAAAGTATTCTTTATATAAAATTCTTAAATTAAATATTTTTTTTATATCAACAATTAACAGTTGTATGTTCAATGTTGGCAGTTGATATTGTTTACTGGTTGAAATGTGATAAGTAATGCTAGTAAAATGTGACTTGGGTTTATTTACTAACACAATAATGTATTTATTAATAATAGTTCAACATTTAGTAATCCATTTAATTTGAGCTTGTTAACATTATCTAAAGTATTGTGAGTATAACATTTATATTGGAACAAAAGTATTAGTTAATATTAATACACACACACACACACACACACACACACACATCTCTCCCGCGATTTATTCAGAAATTTACTCCCACACCGTAAGAAATCTGGCCGGCTCCCGCGGAACAGCAGTTATACCCGATAGGTCCCGAGTCCGACAGGTACATTTTGATTGACAGCTTTATACAGCCCAAACCCGTTCACAGCCTACATTAAAATGTGCTCATGCACACAGCTCTAATGCATTTTTTTTAAAGAATGAGTCATTTATATGTTTTAACATCATTTATTCGTAACAAGCGTAGACTATAGGCCACTTGAAAGTTGGAACAAAGAAATAAAATAAGTCCTACAGCTGTAACATCGTAACATCTCAGCACTCTATAGGTCTAGGTACACTTAGCCTTTAAATTAGCCTACACACCAATGAAATGAAATCTTGCTTAACAAATCAAATTAAAATAAACTCTAAATGATGACGGGTATTTTGGCAATAACGAAATTAAGATAAAGGCTGTGCAAGTTGTTTCTCCACTTCTCTTCACAATCTGGCATTAAGGCGGCGGTGAAGCTGAATAATAAAAGAATAATGCCACCATTAGCCTGTATACTCTGTCTACATTATGATTATATGGTTTAATTAATATTTATTTATAATTTAAAAACCCTTTACGCACCAAGATTAGGCTACGTGTGTTTGTGGAGGAACATTATTAAATCCACTGGCTTTAGCGCAGTCTCTCACTCATGGTGCGTCCAGCAGCTGAACACCCTTTCCTGCGGCTACAGGCCGAGATGCAGAGTTCTTATCCGGCTGATTTTGCAAGTTTTTGGTAGGATTGTTTGTTCATCTTCTACGGAAGCGTAGAGCTGCCACCCAGGTAAAAAAAAAAGAGCTTTATCACGTTTGTACAATATACTTTTCACGTTCTTACAAAATAATATCACGTTTGTACAATATAATATCACGTTTGTACAATATAATATCACGTTTGTACAATATACTTTTTACGTTCTTACAATATAATATCACGTTTGTACAATATAATATCACGTTCTTACAATATAATATCACGTTTGTACAATATAATATCACGTTTGTACAATATAATTTTACGTTTGTACAATATACTTTTCACGTTCTTACAATATAATATCACGTTTGTACAATATAATATCACATTTGTACAATATACTTTTCACGTTCTTACAATATAGTATCACGTTTGTACAATATAATATTACGTTTGTACAATATACTTTTCACGTTCTTACAATATAGTATCACGTTTGTACAATATAATATCACGTTCTTACAATATAATATCACGTTTGTACAATATAATATCACATTTGTACAATATACTTTTCACGTTCTTACAATATAGTATCACGTTTGTACAATATAATATTACGTTTGTACAATATACTTTTCACGTTCTTACAATATAGTATCACGTTTGTACAATATAATATCACGTTCTTACAATATAATATCACGTTTGTACAATATAATATCACGTTTGTACAATATACTTTTCACGTTCTTACAATATAATATCACGTTTGTACAATATACTTTTCACGTTCCTACAATATAATATCACGTTTGTACAATATAATATCACGTTTGTACAATATACTTTTCACGTTCCTACAATATAATATCACGTTTGTACAATATAATATCACGTTTGTACAATATACTTTTCACGTTCCTACAATATAATATCACGTTTGTACAATATTAGTAATCATTAAGCCAACTTTATTTTTGAAAAGCAGGCGCATATTACCGTTATCGTTTCAGATATCTTCTGGTTTAAGCCTGCAGCTAACATTACTCACAATATGAAGGATTTAATCCAGTAAATTTTAAAATAAAGTTCTAAATAATTAATTATTTAAGACATCATTGCATGCATTTATGTTTAACATTGTACTAGAATATCACTCACCGGAAAAAATGGAGACCCGTCTTGGACGGTCTGTTAGTACAATTAACTGCACAACAAGCCATATTATTTAATAAATGTAAGAAATAAAACCAACAAATTGAACAGACTGCATAAAACCATGTACAACTAAAGCACAAACACTGCAGAAGCCATATTCATTAGACGGAATTAGCAGACGTGACGCGACCACGCGGGCTAGCTGCAGCTGACAAACTGTCAATCACGGCTGTCACTCAAGTGACCACTCCCTTAATTATGCAAAAGAAAAAATCATTAATATAAACCAAACGAATAAGTTATAAAAAAATTCACCCCCCTCAGAGTTGTCATGAAGGGTAACGCTAGCTATATGCACTAAAACCATCAAATGTACCAGGCTTTAAACATGTTTTTATCAGCTGTAAAAAAGGCCAATTTCCCATTGCATTCAGAAATGACCTGCACTTCCTGGAGCCAGCCCCCCAAGGCGAGTCGATGAATTGCAGTTTTAGTTACTTCCGTATTGGCTTCACGAGGGAGAGCGGGATGTTGCCGCTTGGAGTTACTGTGAGCCTCCATCACAGTAGGTGGCAGTATGCACTTATAAACTGGTTCGTATACCCACCAATTAAACCTTATAAGAAGAAGATACTGCGCATGCTTAGTGTAGAATGTGTTCTGTCACTTTAAATGCTCTGTTCCTAAACCTGCTACTGCGCATGTACAACAGTGATATGGCAGAAAGAAAAAGCCATTATGTAAAGTTATGTGAACTGTTTGCTGTGCATAAGTAAAAGCTGTTAAACGTTATTATGGTCTCCTGGCTCGTCATCTAACAATGTCAGAAGTGGTCTGCATGGAATTCTGATGACGGCGGAAAAAAAGGTTTGTCCATCGGCAATATCGTTGAAAATTGGCGTGTTTTTGAACAGGAATTTGATATATTCATAGCTGCGGCACACTCAGAGAAAGAGACTCCCACAAAAGCATTCATACTGCTTAACCTGGCCGGCTTGGAAGCCATAGAGCGCGAGCGAACATTTGTTTATGCACCCGCGATATATATGGGTCAGGGTGATGACCGACGAATACACATACCGGCAGAATCACGCGAAGACCAGGAGTGTTTAAAACGCAAGTTTCGAGAACCTTGCAGTCCACAAACAAATATAACAATGGAGAGACACAAACACAATTCAAGAAATCAAAAGCCTGGTGAAACTATTGAGGCGTATGTGAGTGATTTGCGAAACAAAGCACAGAGTTGCAGATTTGGAGATTTGCAGGAAGAATTAATAAGGGATAGACTCGTGTGCGGAAAACTTAATGATGGAATGAGAAAACCTCTGTTGCGTGACAACGAGATGACATTAGCAAAGGCTATTGAAACATGCCAAATACATGAACTGACAGATCAGCACACCAAAGCTGGACCAAAACACAGCCTGTCAAATGTGGATAGTGTTCAACAAATGATAAAAAGAAATTCATTTCGTACTCCCAAACCCAGATTAGACAAGTTTGCTCCACAGCAAATTCATAATTGCAGCAATTGTGGAAGAAACCACGAAGCTAAACGGGAGAGATGTCCTGTGTATGGCCAGCAATGCCACAGGTGCAATAAATTGAATCACTTCCAGAAATGTTGCAAATCAACTAAAGTTCACAGTGCAAGAAATCTAAGAAAAACTGTGAATCAAATTGAAGTTTCTAAAACCTCCAATAGCAGTGAAGACTCCTTCTTTATAGATGGAGTTGCTCTGAATCATCAAAACTTGACTAATTTAGATTTAAAACAGCTGAAGAAAGCTGCAATATCTTGCACAGTCCAAATCAATAGAAAAACAACTAAATTGAAAATTGACACAGGAGCCTCATGCAACATCATGTCCTCACAAACATTTGCACACGTAAAGAAACATGAAAATCTGCAGGTGTCGAGCCATGTAAAGCTTGTTGCTTATGGTGGAGAGGAGATTCAAACGGCTGGATCCACTTTGTTACCTTGTCATCTGAATGGTCAGATCTATACTTTACAGTTCTACGTGGTCCAAAGGGATGTACAGCCATTACTTGAGCTCTCTAATTGTCTTTGGATGGGCCTCATTTCTCTCATTAAAGCAGTACACCAAGTCAGTCTAAAAGAAACAAGTTTCGCTCAACAGATCAACACAGAATATGCAGATCTTTTCCAAGAGGAAATAGGGAAACTTCCTGTGACATACTGCATGAAACTTGACAAAGAAGCTCAACCTGTTGTTCGTCCAGCACGCAGAATTCCTGCAGCGATGCAAAACAAGGTGAAAGCAGA